GTTACTAGTTATTACTAGTAATGCTTTTTTAATTTATTATTTAACTAAATTTGACGATTTAATAAATTTTTGTTAAAATTATAATATATTCTGTAGTTTTCTTATGAATAAAATACAAATAAACAATTATAATCTGTTAAATAAAAAATAGTAATACCGTTACGTGTGTATTTACGGCTCCATGGGACACAAGGAGAGAAAACACACGTAACGTTACGGACGCAATCCCTAGTAACTTTTGCGGACTTCCGGTGCGGATTACGGATTACGGGTTCTATGTGACGCCGGCCTATAAATAAAGAGACAAAACAATCCCATTGTTTTTCTCTGTTTTTTTCTTATGCCACACTTATATGAAAAAACTTGTATCAGACGAGCCTGCATGCAACTTGTTGCAGCAATTCACAAGCGATCTAGTAAATTACTATAGCACAAAAATTGATAAATGATAAGGTCTGGCCAAGTTCCAAAAAAGACACTCCAATATGTTTATATTTTAATAATTATCTAAATTTTTAATATATTACCAACATCAAAAGTAACTGATATATTATTCAAGGTGCAAATTCAAAATAAACATACATAAAATATACATAATATATATAAATAAAACTGATCAAAATTTGATTCTAAAAAGTAAGTAATATGTTATTCTTAGTGCACATACAAAATTTAAAAAATTTAATTAAAATAAAATATTTATTAAAAAATATAAAAACACTTGGCGCTGCCAAGAGGCTTTACCCATCCTCTTTTATCCCCCCCGCGCAACCCTTTTGCGCTATTTTTCTTTTCCTCCTGTTGAGACGCTCCACCGCCCCTCCGTCCCTCTTTAGAGTGCCGTTACATATAGCTCGTAATCCGTAATCTGCACCGGAAGTCCACAAAAGTTACTAGGTATTTCGTCTGTAACATTACGTGTGTTTTTATCTCCTTGTGTCCCATGAAGCCGTAAATACAGACGTAACGGTAGTACTATTTTTTATTTAACAGATTATAATTGTTTATTTGTATTTTATTCATAAGAAAACTACAAAATATATTATGATTTTAACAAAAGTTTTAATTAAATCGTCAAATTTAGTTAAATAAATAAAATTAGAGAAAGCATTACTAGTAATAACTAGTAACTTGTAGTAGCTTTTACGGAAATTTCATGGAATTACGGCTCCATGGGACACAAAAAGATAAAAACACACGTAACGTTATGGACGAAATACCTAGTAACTTTTGCGGACTTCCGGTGCAGATTACGGATTACGGGCTGTATGTGACCAAGATCTATAGAGAGAAGGTTACCTCAGGAAAACCAGTTGTCGGCGAGAGACGATGAAGTAAGGGGGGAGCTAGAAACAGCTTGACGGCGAGGGGCGATGAAGGAAGGGTAGAGTATGATGATTTCATCGACAAACAGTAGCTGTCTCTCTCTTTCAAAGTTCTTCCTTTCTAACTGTTTCTAAC